GCCAGTGCGACCGCGGCTGCGCCGGCGCTGGTGCAACCGCCACGTCAGCGGCTGCGCGGGCGCGGGTCGAGCGCGGTGGCCCACCCTGGCCTCCAGGGGAGCCGAAAGCGCTGCGGGCAGATCGGCGCCGCGACTCCGCGAGGCTCGGCGACCCCGGCCGCGCTTGCCAGCGCGTGAGCCCGAGCCTGGAGGTCATCCTGGGTCGAGCGCCCGAAAGCACTCTGAGGGGCGCCTGGGCCGGCCAACGAGACCAGCAGGCGGCACCAGCTGGGTAGGTAAGCACCGGCCAAAGTCGCACGCCACGTCCAACCTCGCGTCGGATGCCGGACCTTGCCCTGCAGCTCGACCCTGTGGCGGCAAGCGCAGCAGCAGCGCAGTGCAAGATGACCCAGCCCGGGAAGGCTCCCGGCGATCGCACCTGGCTTCTTGAAGGGCGCGCCGAACCTGCACGAGTCGAACAGCACCTTCGGCCAGGCAAGGCGCTGCAGCTCGCGCTGCAACGCGGGCCACTTCCAGACTCGGCTCGCAGGCGGGTTCTCGAAGGTGACGAAGATCCCGAGGGTCCGGCAGAGTCGCAAGACACGGACTGTGAACGCCACGAGCGCGCGGTCCGCCGGCGATGGATCGCGCGTGCCCCCGACGGGCACCCACCTCGTACAAGGCAGGCCCAGGTGGACCCACCAGACTTCCCCCGATTTGAGCCAATGTTCAACGAGACGCTGGGCTCGACGGCTCGTGAGGTCACAGTGGGGCCCATACTTGGAGTCCATCGGGGGCATGATCCGAAAACCTCGCTCATGCAACGCACCACTGAGATTTGCAGTACCCGCGAAGATCTCGAGGATGGCTTTACGAGGGGGGCCCCGTCGAGGAACTTCAGGAGGCCGAGGGCGCTTAGCCAGTGCCCGTTGAGGCTCTTCGTGTGGCCCAAGGTGTACAGGTGGGCCCTGTTGAAGAACTTCAGGAGGCCGAGGGCGCTCAGGAGGGTCCTGTTGAGGATCTTCGCGTGCCCCAAGATGTACACGTGGGCCCCGTAGAGGAACTCCAGGAGGCTCGAGTGCAACAGGGAGGCTTCGAACATGCTCAGGTCGATCTCGTCGGGGTCGCTCGTTGGGGCGTACTTTCGAGACTTCATCTTGATGCCTTTTACTCTGGTAAGAAGAGGAATGCGTGGTAGAGGAAAGCTGAGGTGACGGAGGTGACGGAATGCAACGGTCTCTTTCGGTGTTTTCAGGCCCCAGCAACTCGGCCTGCTCTCGTCCGATCTCAAACTCGGTAGCCGCGGTCGGCGGGGCCTTGGCCCTGCCCGCGGCTGGCGGGACCACGGGAATTCGGCGGCTGCCGCTGGTGGGCGTCGACAGGGCGCCTCGTCCGCGGTAGCGTCCGGCGAGGAGCTCACCTCGGTCAGCCGCCCGGCTCCCGTGGTCCGCGACGTTGTAGATGCCTGGCACGTGCCTCGGGCGCCAGCGGATCTCGCACCCGAAGCAGACGGCCGCAGCCCGGCGGCACTGCGCCAGGAGCTCAAAATTGGTGGCCCTGCCCTTCTCAAAGGCGAGGACCGACGACATGTTGTCGCACAGACTGAGGATCTCCTTCCCGTGGAAGTTGACGTCGCCTGCCGCTCTCCATAGCGGTGCGACGGCGGCGCGCGCCTCGAGGGCGCGAATGCGGCCCGGCCGGCGCCACGCGCCACGGCGGCGCTCCACCCAGCGGCCAGCGTCCAGCAGAGCGTCCGCCAACGGCTCGGGCGGGACCCCGATCCCCAACTCGACCCGGCGCCTCTTGGCCACGGCGCGCCGCAGCCGGGGCGGCAGCTCGACGGGCAGTGGCCCGGAGATGTCGCAAAAGCCGGCGGCCCGCCCTTCGTACTGCTCGTCGTCGGGCGCGACCTCGGGCTCGGTGGCGACGAACCGCTGGCGCTCGCGCCATCTGGTGGCCGCCAGTACCTCCCAGGGCTCCAGTCGGGCTTCGCAGACGGCGTAGCCTCGCAGCGAGCTGTCGGTCGTGAAGGCGACGTCGGACGGCACGCGGCACAGGTCCACTTCGCCGAGGAAGACGAGGCCGGCAGCAACTGCGAGCTCACCGAGAACATCTCCAGGCAAGCGCACGACAGGGGACAGGTCGCCGTCTCCGATGAACGTGTAGCAGGACCCCAGCACGCTGAGCCCGGGGCGCACGACGGAGAAGTAGTGCACCAGGTGGCCGACGATTCGCCGCAGCTGCCAGCGGGCGAGCCACGGCGCCCGAAGCACGTGGTGCAGAGCCAGGTAGAGCCCCCAGGCGCGCTTGGCGGTATGTCTGAGTCGGCCCTCGCGCCCGTCGAGCACCAGCCCCAAGATGACAAGGCCGGGCTGCGCGCGCTCGAGCTCGTGCCAGCGAAGTCCGCGACGATCCAGTTCAGCAGTGAGCTTGTCCAGCCGGTCGTTGAGCGCCGGCGCGCTGAGCGCGACAAGATTCCCGTTGTCGACGTACGGCGCCCTGACGACAGCCTGTCCGACGAGAGTCGGCGCACGGGCTTTGTCAAGGCACCAGCCGTCGCCTGGGAGGCCCGCCTCGTCCATCGCGTCGACGAGAACCTCGTGGCAGATCCAGAGCGCCCAGCTCCAGCCCATGGGCAACGCCGCGAAGCAGGGCCAGATGACGTCGTCGCCCGACACGGCCACGCGGCGCCCGAGCTTCTCGTCGTAGATCGAGTCGAGCCCGAGCTCGTCAGCGGTGACCTCCACGTCGAAGCACATCCAGCTGCCCCACGAGGGGTCGGCGAACTGGTAGAACCCGTCCATGAGGTCCACGGAGCCTGCGCAGAGCGACTCGTAGCAGCCGTCGAAATCCGCCAAGTCCTCGGGGCTCGCGCCGACGGCGTCGAGCAAGTTGATCGAGCCCAGCGCCTCACCGGATGCCAGCACAGTCCGAGGGGGGAGCTTGTGCAGCTGGTTGGGCTGGCGAGCGCCCACGACCATGCGGATGTCGCCGTTCTTCTTGGCGACGAAGAAGGTACTGACGCACGCCTTCCGACGCGCCCGGCCATCCACCAGGCCCCGTGCAGCGAGTCGTCGAAGGAAGTCGACGAGGCGTGGTCGGTTCCGAGGGTCGCGCGGGTTGAGGAGAGGGTCCCAGTAAGGCTCCACGATGACCTCGTCCACGGGGATGTTCGGCGTGGGGCGAACGACGTCCGAGTTGAAGTGGTCCAGCGCCTCGGTGACGTGCCGAGGGGCAACGTCTCGAAGCTGACGAGGCCGGTCATGTGGCGCACGTCGTAACACATTGAGCTTGTCAGCATCATAGTCGCGGCGAGTAGAAGCCTCGCCCATGTTCGAGTACAGATCCTTGCACTTGAGGAGCTCCTGCAGGGCTCCAGCACAGCCCATGTCTTTCGGTCGGTCGCCGAAGCCGCGGACACGACGTCGGACTCGCTTGATGACCGACTCCTGGGCGGTAGTCGGCCGATGCTTGCCGGGCGCTCGAGGCTCGAGACGCCCCCCAGCCCGTGCGCCTGCCAGCGCGTTGAGCGCACCCAGAGTCTCGAGAGACCTGCGATCACGGTCGTCAGCACGAGCAGCACGCTGGGCCAGATACCGAGGCAGAGCGGCACGTTCTCCACGATGAGGGTGGCGATAGAACTCGTCGCCCTGCGGCAGAGGAAACAAAACTGTGGACGAAGTCCGACCCTCGGAGGAGACCCCCTCGGAGGGCAGCCCGGCCCGACTCGCATTCGCGGCTGCGGAGTCAGGGCCAGGCCCAGTGAGGCCGGGCGGAGCGCCCAACCATGATGGCGCCGACATGGCGCCGTCAACCCTGATCCTTCGCGGCGGCCTTGGGCTTCGGCTTTGCCTTGCCCTTCGGATCCGCCCTGGGGCCCCTCTCCCTGTCGTCGCCCTGCCTCTCGTACTTCTTCGCCTCCGACTCCTGCTCCTCCCGGTACATCCGCTCCTGCTTCAGAATGATGCCCTGCGACTTCTGCTCCTCGGCCACGAACGCGTCGAACTTCGACGTCACGACGCCTCCGCTCTCGTCCAAGGAGCTGCTCAGCATCAGGCCGAGGCCCTCGAAGCTCGGGTGGCGCGGGCACCTCTTCACCGCCCGCTGGATCTGCAGCACCCGGCGTCCCAGGAGCTCCAGAGACGCCAGGTTCGACGGGTCCACGAGGTCGTAGGTCACGGCGTGGTGCAGCTGGTTCAGCGCGCGCCGCACCTCCTGGGCCACCGCGGCGTTCCGCGACACCCCCGACTCCGAGACCCAGTACCCCCAGTAGGACGTGAGGGTCAGCCCGGTGGCGAGGATGGCGGCCAGCAGCTCGGGCAGGGCCTTCGGCCCCCGAAAGGGCCAGTCGTCGAAGTCGACCGCGCTCATCTTCGCGATCGCCTCCCCGAGCGTCACTTGGAGCCCGCGACCCCGCCGCGCCAGCGGGAGGATCCGCGGGTCGCGTCCCGGGCCTCGGCGCTTCTCGGCGCGCCAGTCCTCCTCGTCGGCCTGCTGCACGTTCTCGACCGAGACCCAGCCCTCCTCCTCGCTGAGCATCGCGATGCCCACCGCGTCGCGGCTGATCAGCCGCTCCGGGTTCCCGATGAGGTGGAGGTCCAGCTCGCGCCCGAACTCGGGCGAGCCTGGGTCCGAGACGATCCAGCGCGGCACGACGCCGCCAGCAGTCCCAGCTGGGGCAGCGACGCCCATGACCAGGGCGAGGCCGCGCGCCTCCACGCGCAGCGCCTCGATGTCCTCGTCCGACTGATCGCCGAACGCGTAGACCTGCCCACGAACCCGGACCGGGAACGCGGACACCCGGCGCAGGGGGACGACCAGGTGCTTGCTGAGGTCCAGCGTCAGCACCTCGCCGTCGGGAGTCGCCGCCACCCAGATGCCAGGGCTGAGCTGCTCGAGGAGCACCCTGTGGTGCCACCGGAAGTTCTCGTCGTCGTCGTAGTTCACGCACACCTGCGCCTCGGGCACGTCGAGCGTGCGCATCGCCGCCGCCGCCATCTTGCCGACGGCCGACGATCAGGCTACGCTCGCACTGCCCGAAAGCGGCGCTGCGCGCCGCCGTCCTGGCCCGCTCCGTCGTCCTCGACGAGCAGGGTCACGGGCGCCGCACCCTCGCGCCGCGGCGGGTCGGTCCCGCCGACGAAGAGCGAGGCGGCTCGGGCGGCCCAGCCCAGCGCCACGCGGAAGCTGCCACCGGCCGCGAGGCCAGCAGCCAGGGCGACAAGGACCGCCCACCAGCCTGGCCCGGTCCCGCAGGTCAGACTGCAGTCCGGGCAGCCCGGGCAGCCCGGGCAGGGGGCGGCGGCCGCCGCCGGAGGGCATGCGGGGCAGGCCCCGCACGTCACGCGGGCCTCCGGGCACGCGGGACAGCGCGAGAGCCACGCGGTCGCGATGGAGGCCGCCCACGGGCCGGCTGCGGCCCACGGCACCACCATGCGCTGCCGGGGGCCCCTCGAATGATAGAGCTTGAGCAGGAGCGGTTTCGGAGCAGAGGGAGAGAGCAGCAGCAGGAGCAGCGAACGAGACGGACGCGGCTCCACTGCTCTGAAACTCCCGAGGCCACTCGCACTTAGGAAAACGAGTCAGAGACAAATCATATATATTAGGAACTCGGTGCTTTGGAATTCGAATGAAATTGAGCCAACAAGCAATAACAAAGTGTTCTCTCGAACGTACTACGGATTGACCCCTATGCGACAGCCACGGCAACTAGCTCTTCAAACTTATCGTGCTTGCCCCGTCGGCACGCTATAAGCTAACAACTCCCCACCCTCCTCTCATCATATAGTCTTCCTGCTCCTTCCGCATCCTCCTCCTCCTGCTCTTCCTCCCCGTCCTCTTCCTCCTCCTTCTCCCCCTGCTCTCCCTCCCCCTCCTCTTCCTCCTCCACCTCCTCCTTCTCTTCACCATCATCATCATCATCATCATCATCATCATCATCATCATCATCATCATCATCATCATCATCATCATCATCATCATCATCATCATTATCATTATCATCATCATCATCATCATCATCATCATCATCATCATCATCATCATGATCATCATCATCAGCATCATCATCATCATTATCATCAGCATCATCATCAGCATCATCATCATTTGACGTTTTATGCAAGCGCCAAAACGGTCTGTACATCAACGACAACTACACCAACAGCCTGGCTACGGGGGCCCTTGCTGGCGGCCGCTAAAAAAATCGTGATGAGAGGTCGGCTCCCAGTCAGTGAGGGGTCCAGACCTGTGGGTGGGGAACAACGCTACAAATACACTCGCGACCAAGTGGAGAAGGGCGGCAAGAGGATAAAGGGGGGGGAGGCGACGAGAGGTCGGAGCGAGGAGGAGTGGGATCAGGAGGGGAAGGGGAAGAGGGGCGAGGGGGGAAAGGTAGGAGGGACGGGAGGATGAAGGGGAGCGGAGCAATAAAAGGGAAGGAAACCACGTATGCCAATTTGCCCTGGCCTCCTCCAGCCTTCCGGTACTCCCTCCTCCGCTCCTTTCCCGTTTCTCCCCCATCCCTCCTCCTCCGCCCGCCATCCTCCACAGCCCGTCTTCCCTCCGACTCCCCCTCGTCGTCGCTCCTCACCCCCTCCCTCCCACGCTCCAGTCTAATCCCATTCCTCCTCCTCCTCCTCCTCCTCCTCCTCCTCCTCCTCCTCCTCCTCCTCTTCCTCCGCTGACGTAGCCTCCCTACCTTGCTCTCTGCCGCGTCCTTTCCTCGTCCTCTAGTAGGAAAACAATCATCTCTGCATAGCCACCGCTCCCTAGCCAGGCCCGTCTTGAATCCAATAGCAATGTATACACCACTCCTTCCTGCCCTGGCCAGGAAGCCGTACACGCAGTTCCTGGGCGACAGACGTGCCCAGCCAAGGGGTGTATATAGATTTTGTCACCCGGCCCCCTCCTCCTCCTCCCTTTCCCCTCGACAGTCGGCGCCAGTCGGCGCCTTCCTGGCTCGTGCCGCCTCCCCCCCCCATGGCCCCGTGGCTTTCCTGAGGCAGTGGCAGTGCGCCTGCGCTCTCCGCGACCCCGCGGCCCACGCCTCGTCGGCGCGCGGCATCCCCCCTGGCCCTGCCCCCATGGATAGCGGGCGAGGAGGAGCATATACAGACACGAGGACGGGGGGGCAAGGAGGGGGGGGGAGGAGAAACAGAAGGAGGAGGAGGCGGAGGAGGAGGAGCGGAGGAGGGGTGCGGAGGAGGTGCGGAGGAGGGGTGACGCTCGAGGGGGAGGAGGAGGAGGAGGAGGAGGAGGAGGAGGAGGAGGAGGAGGAGGAGGAGGAGGAGGAGGCGGAGGAGGAGGAGGAACAGGAGGAGGAAAAGGTGGAGGAGGGAGGAGGAGGAGGAGGAGGAAGGGGAGGAAGAGCAGGAGGAGGAGGAAGAGGAGGGGGAGGAGAAGGAGGAGGAGGACGACGACGAGGAGGACGAGGAGGAGGAGGAGGAGGAGGAGGAGGAGGGGGGGAGGGGGGGGGCTCCAGGAGGAGCGGTGAGGAGCAGCAGAGCTGGATACTTGAAGGGGAGATGGGGAAGGGCATCGGGACGCAACGACACGCAAGCGGCGCCCGAGCGGGACAGCGGCGGCACTTGAAAACCGCTTGCTTCCCCATCTGACATGCGGAAGAGAAGCACAGCACACCAGAGGAGAAAAGGGAACATAGAGAATCTGAGGACCAAGTGTAGGGAGTGACAGGGCAGGAACATACAAAACACCGCTGTTCGGTCCTCCAAGGCCCCCGTGCCCTCGTCACCAGAGCTGGAGAGGCAGCGGGATACTTGTCAGGAAGAAGTGAGAAAAGGAACAGAAAGCGGGCAAGGGGGCAGAAAACGGAAGGGGATGGAGATCAAGAGGAGGATGGGACCAGACTAACCCCCAACTGCGAAACCAAAACTACAATACACCCTCCCGTCCCAAATCACAAAAGGGCCATGATGATGTACCGCTCTTTTTCCTGGTAACCCTGGGCTCTGAAACAGGAGTCGGAGTATAACCGAAACCCCATTAGGAGATCTGTTAAAAGCCTTCCCCAGGTTCGCTGCCCAAAAAGGGTGTCGCATGTAGTACCCAAATTCACCCTTCCCCACGCCATGTCGGCTGGGGGTGGGTTCAACAAAAAATCGAGATGTTGAAATAAGAACGGGTTTCCCGAGAGCTGGCAGCGGCCAAGCCAGCAAACCAACATAGGGCACTCCAACTTCACAAAAACAACGGGTGACGAATGCCACCCAGAAAACCGTGTGGCAAAACCCAATTGTAAAATTGTGAGTCTGGGAACCAATATAAGGCCATCCAACTTCCCAAAAACAACGGGTGACACGTGTCACCCCCGAAACCGTGTCACAGAACCTGATTGTAAAATTTGGATCCTGGGAATCAGCACAAAGCCATTCACCTTCACAAAATCATCGAATGACATGTGTCACCCCGAAAACCACCTGATACCATCCAATGGTAATGACAAGACTGTGGGAACCAACATACGGCCATTCAACTTTACAAGAAAAAACGGGTGAGACGTGTCACCCCCCGAAACCGTGTGACACAACCCAGTTTTAAACTTTGAAATTCTGGGAGCCAACAAGCGGCCATTCAGCTTCACAGAAACAATGGGTGACGCGTGTCACCCCCGAGCCCGCGTGACAAAACCCAACTCTAACATTGGGATTCTGGGAGCCAACATACGGCCTTTCAACTTCACAAAACCAACGGGTGGCACGCGTCACCCCAAACAACCGTGTGAGAGAAACCAATTGCAAGATCCAGATTCAAGGAGCCAACATACGGCCATTCAACTTCACAACACAAAAAAAAACAACGGGTGACACGCGTCACCCCCGAAACCGTGTGACAAAACCCAAATGTAAAATTGGGATGCTGGAAGCCAACATAATGCCATCCAACTTCGCCAACCCAATGGGAGACACGTGCCACCCGAAAACCCGTCTGAGGAAACCCACATGTAATTTTGGGATTCTGGGACCAACGTATACCCATTCAACTTCACAAAGCCGATGGGTGACACGTGACACCCCCGAAACCGAATAACAAAAGCACATTGAAAAAGAGGGACTCAGGGAACCAACAGAAGGCCATTCAACTTCACAAAAAAACAACGGGTGACAAATGTAACCCCCGAAACCGTATGACAACACCCACTTGTAAAATTTCGGTTTGGGAGCCAAAATAAGGCCATTCAACTTCACAGAAAAAACGGGTGCACGTGTCCCCCCGAAAACCGTGTGAGAAAAAAACAAAATAAAAAATTAGATTCTGGGAATCAGAATGTGATTCTGGTAGCCAACATACGGCCATTCAACTTCACAACAAGAACGGGTGACACGTGTCACCCCCGAAACCGTGTGACAAAACCCATTTGTCAAATTATGACTTCCGGGAGCCAACCAAGGGCCTTACCACATCACGAAAAAACAGCGGGTAACACGTGACACCCCCGAAAGCGTGTGACAAAACACAATTGTAAAATTGCGATCCTGGGAGCCAGCATAAAGCCATTCAGCTTCACAAAAACAACGGGTGACACGTGTCACCCCCGAAACCGCGTGACCAAATCGAATTGTAAAAATGTGATACCGGGGGCCAACATAAAGCCATTCAAGTTCATGCAAACAACGAGTGGTAAATATTAGATTCTGGGTGCAAACATCTGGCAAGTCACCTTCGCAACCAAAACGGGTGACACGTGTAACACCCGAAACCGCGTGGCACAACCCAATTGTAAAATTGTAATTCTTGAAGCCAACCTAAGGCCATTCAACTTCACACAAACAATGGGTGACGCGTGTCACTCCCGAAACCGCGAAGCACAACCCAATCCTGATAACCAACATACGACCATTCAACTTCAAAAACAAGGGGTGACACCTGTCCCCTCGAACCCTCGAACGCCGTTTGAGAAACCCCAATTGTAAAATTGGCATCCTGGGGGCAAACATAAAGCCATTCAAATTCAATTTTGCAACGGGTGACACGTGTCACCCACGAAACCATGTGGCAAAACCCAAATGTAAAATTGAAACTATGGGAACCAATATAAAGCCATTCAACTTACAAAAAACGGGTGACACGTGTCACCTCCCGAAACCGTGTGACACAACCCAGTTTTGAAATCTGAAATTCTGGGAGCCAACAAGCGGCCATTCAACTTCACAAAAACAATGGGTGACGCGTGTCCCCACCGAGCCCGCGTGACAAAACCCAACTCTAACATTGGGATTCTGGGAGCCAACATACGGCCTTTCAACTTCACAAAACCAACGGGTGGCACGCGTCACCCCAGAAACCGTGTGAGAGAAACCAATTGCAAATCTCAGATTCAAGGGGCCAACATACGGCCATTCAACTTCACAAAAAAACAACGGGTGACACGCGTCACTCCCGAAACCGTTTGAAAACACCCAAGTGTTAAATTCGGATTCTGGGAACCAACATACGGCCATTCAACTTCACCAAAACAACGGGTGACACGTGTCACCCCCGACTCCGCATGACAAAACCCAATGCTAACATTGGGATTCTGGGAGCCATCAGAAGACCATTCAACTTCACACAAACATCGGGTGACACGTGCCACCGCAGAAACCGTGTGACAAAACCTACGTGCCAAATTGGGATTCTGGGAGCCAACATAAGGTCACGCCAATCCACAAAAACAACCGGTAACACGCGTCACCCAAAAAACTGTGTGAGAGAGATCAAACATGAAGCTAGAACTCTGGGGGGCAACATGAAAAAAACTCAATTTCACAAGATCAACGGGTGACACGCGTCAGTCCGGAAACCGTGCGACGAAACATTTATGTAAAGTTGGGATTTTGGAAATCAACATACGGCCATTCAAATTCACAAGGACAAGCCGTGACACGTGCCACCCCGAACACCGTCCGACAGAAACCAATTGTAAACCTGGGGCCCTGGGAGCCACGATGCGGCAATCCAGCTTCACAAAAACAACGGGTGACAAGTGTCACCCCCGAAACCCGCATGAGATAAACTACATGTGCATGTGAGATTATGGGAACCAACATGCGGCCATGGAGGTTTACAAAAACAACAAGTAAAACGTGTCACTCCGACAACCGCCTAAGAAAAATAGTTGTACATTTAAGATTCTGGAGGCCAACATACGGCCATTCCACTCCACAAAAAAGGGTGACCCGTCCCCCCTCTGAAACTGCGTGACAAAACTCGAGTGCGAACCACCAGCCCTCTGGGCGCAAATGGTCTAGCGATGTCATCCTTTCCTCGTCCAAAAAACCCTTCTTCCCATTCGGGGGGTTATCATTGTTCCATATGAATAGACACCCCCTCCCCCAGGCGACTGGGAGCCAACCCGCGTCAATGCGGGCACCTCCCCCACCACCCCTTGTAACAAACCGTACAAAACACACTCTGCCCCCACCATCTTTTGCAAAAACCCATACACCACACACTCTGTCTCCAAATTCCGAGCATGCGCAGCAAAGCCGATGCGGCCTCCCCCCACCATCCATGTCAAAAAACAATACAGAATACATTTGGCGGCGGCGGCGGCTGCGGCGGCTGCGGCGGGAGCAGCGGCTGCGGCGGCTGCGGCGGTGGCGGCGGCGGGGGCGGCGGCGGCGGCGGGGGCGGCGGCGGCGGCGGCGGCGGCGGCAGTGGCGGCGGCGGCGGCAGCGGTGGCGGCAGCGACTGCGGCGGCAGCAGCGGCGGCGGCGGTGATTGGGCAGCGGCGGCGGCGGCGGCGGCGGCGGCGGGCGGCGCAGGGGCGGCGGCAGCGGCGAACAGCGGCGGCGGCGACGGCGGAGGCGCCGGCGGCGCCGGCGGATTGGCTCCCAGGAGCTGCCCATCCACAGACGACTGCTGCATATGCTGCGGTTCGGGCCAAGCTCGGGTGCCACGTATGTGTTGGGAGGGCGGGTGGGGGTGAGCGAGACGGCTTGCGGGCGGGGAGGGCGTCTTGACCCTTCCCCCTACCCCCTCCCGTGGACCTGGACGGGAGGGGCCGCGATCGCTTGGAGGGTCCTTTTCGGCCCCTGGGAAGGCAAATTTTTGATATCTTTCACGAGAGTCGTGGCCCCCGAGGGGGGGCCTCGATCGGGACTCCCCCTCCTTTGATCGATAGCCTCGAAGATGGCCCCAAGATGCGCCCCAGGGCTCCCAGGACAGCCCCAAGAGGGCTCCAAGAGGATCCCAGGAGGGCCCAAAGAGGCACCCGAGAGGCCCCCAAAAGGCCCCCGAGCGGCCTCAGAGAGTCCAAGATGACCTCCAAGATGGCTCAAATAGCCCAAACTGGCTCAAGATGGCTCCCAAAATGCTCCAAACGGCCCCGAGGCCGACCAAGAGCGCGCAAGAGCGCCCCAAGAGAGCCCCAAGAAGCGGTTTGTCGGCTCCTGGGGAAGGAGCTGAATCGGCCCCCCCCCCCATCCTGTAATCGATGGCCTCCAAGATGATCCCAAGGAACCTTCCAGGGTGACCAAGGGGGTTCCAAGAGGGCCCCCCACACTCCCAGAGAGCACCACCACCACCAGCAGCCGCAAGAATACGTCTACATGGTTCCATGGGTCTTCGTCCGCGCCGTCCTCATCCTAGTCCTCGTCCTCCTCGTCATCGTCCTCATCCGCGTCGACGGCCTCTTCGTCCTCCTCGTCCTCATTATCCTCCTCTTCCTCTTGCCCCAACTCGGCACCCAGGGATAGCCAGAAGAGGCCTTCCAAGGTTACCCCCTTGCTCGCGCTGTTTTTCTGGATGTGCCTCTTCGTCACTTTCCCGGACAACTCTGAAGGACAGGGTTTCTGAATGGACTGGTGAGGATACCTGTTTTGATTGCGAGTGACGCGGAAGAGGCCGCGCACCGTCAGCAGGGTGGAATCAGCGGAAACATGAACAGGCCACTACGCGGACAGCGCAAGTGGGACGAAAACAGCACGAGGCGGAAGAATTGGGACTAGTGGGGATACGTTTGGTCAACAGGCTCGCGAGCTCGCGAGGCGTGTCGAAAGCCGTCCGAACACGAGTCTGGCCGCGACTAGGCAGCAGGAAAAAAAAGGCAAACACTGGTGGGGATATTTTCTTGGTCGCGGCCGCAAGCGACATGGCGCAGGCGCCGAACAGGGTGTCCGGGCCGACGGGCAAACCAAATTAGCTGCTGGGCGCAGCGCAAGCCGGCCGGGCCAGCTCACAGAGGCAGCAGCTGCGGCAGCGGCGGCGGGGGGCTGGCTGGCTGAACTGCAAAGCCCAGGGAAGCTCGGGCATCGTGCAGCCCTGTGGCAAAATGCCCGGGAATTCTGTGTTACGCGCCGCGGCGCCAGTCCACCACGGTGAAGGTGCTGTCGGGACACGCAGAGAGTAATTTAACCTGCGCGTGCAATCCTCACAGACACTGCAGTTGGGAGAGGCTAGGTACACACTGGTCATGTCGCCAGGGGGCGCCAAGGACCAGGGCCGTGTCGACGGTGTAGACCTGCCTGGTCGGCTGGGACGGAACGAGGATGGAAACACAGCGTCCGTCGGAAGGCTGGACCACTCCGAGACGTCACGCACGTATCCAATAGGGCACACCAGTCCCGAGCAAGTGGCAACGAGCCGGCCCGAAGGCGATGGCACCTGTGGGCCGGGCCCATGGCCACACGGTCACGACGTGAGCGTCGCAGAGAACCGCTTATTGCGCGGAGAGGAAGCCTGACTGGCGGGGATGGACGTCGGCAGCGCGACCAGGAGAGTAAGCACCACGGGCGACAGCGCCAGGGGGCGATCACCCACAATTGGTGGGGATACGCGAAGCTTGAAAAATTTTGATTCTGGGAGACAACATAAAGCCGTTCAAACTGGCAGGAACAAATTGTGACACATGTCACCCCGAAAACCGTTTGAGAAAAAACATGTGTACATGTGCGATTCTGGGAGCCAGCATACGGCCATTCAGATTCACAAAAACCACGGGTGACACTTGTAACCCCGAAAACCGTCTGACAACACCCAATTCTAACATTGGGATTCTGGGAGCCAACATAAGGCCATCCAGCTTCACAGAAACAAAGGGTGACCCATGTCACTTCCTAAACAGCGTGACGAAGCCCAATTGCAAAATTGAGATTCTGAGAGCCAACATAAAGCCATTCAAGTTCATAAGAAACATCCGATGACACGTGTCCCCCCGAGACCAGCGTGGCAAAACCCAATTGGGAGCCAACAAGCGGCCATTCAGCTTCACAAAAATAACGGGTGACAGGTGTCACCCCCGAAGATCATGTGACAAAATCCAACTGTAATCCTAGGATTCTGGGAGCCAACTAAGCCATTCAACTTCACAAAAACAACGGGTGACACGTGTCACCCCCAAAACCATTTGACCAAACGCAATCGAAAATTTCAAATTCTGGGAGCCAACAAATGCCATTCAGGCTCACAAAAACAATGGGCAACACGTGTCACCCCAAAAACCGTTTGTGAAAAACCAATTGAAATGTATGGGATTCTGGGAGCCAGGCCTGCCAGGCCATTTAGCTTCACAAAAGCAACGGGTGCGATTTAACCCAAAGGTCCCGGACCAGCGGATTCTAGAGCCCTGGAATGTAGGGTCCAGGAGTCTAGGGCCCAGGAGTCTAGGGCCCAGGGGCATAGGGTCCAGGAGTCTAGGGCCAAGGAGTCTAGGGCCCATGGGTCCACGGCCCCGGATGTCTAGGGCTCAAAAATATTGGGCCGTGTAGTCGAGCGCGCAAGCTGGGGAGAAACCAACGGAACGAAAAACAGAACGAATGCTCGGAAACAGAAGGGGACCGTGATGATGCACAAGAGCGGAGATCAAGACAGGTGGGATCCCCTCATGGCAGATAGATGGACAGTCATGGCCGCCCGACCGCTCGCCCGCCCGCGGATGCCGCAGCGGGGGGGGCGGTGGGCGGGTGGGCGGGCGCGGAAATATGATGCTAAACGCGAATCGCAGTCCGCAGTTTTTTTGGCCCGCGGAGGGTGGGTGGGTGTCGAAAACAATGCCGCCGACCAATGCCACAACGTATTCCCTAATTTTCTGGTTCCGCGGAGGGAGGGGTGGTGGTGGACAAAAACGATGTATGTAAGTCCCCACGGGCGTTCCTTTCGTTACAAGAAGAGTCCCCTTAACATAACCCCCATTGGTACGCCATTCAAGCGACAGCTCCGTTTCAAAAAAGGGTTGCCTCACATCCTTTGTATTGCCGAACCAAGAAAACAAAAAAAAAAATGACCATACAATTCAATCAAATATCCAACGATACCCCAATATTGCATAATCCACAGCCGCTTAACAATTTACCTTTTGCGCAAGTTGTTCGATTACGGTCAAGACCGTCATATATCCATCCGAGAAAGTGCTACATATGCTGCAACTTCGGTTCTTCAGACGCAGGGGAGCCACTCTAACGTATGGTAACGGTTGACGCGTGTTCAGACGAAGTAGCGCCGCGCTGACGCCAGAATTCCAGTTTGAAAGCATTATGTGCTAAACCCGCGTCAACAGTTCAAGCGTTCAAAACGAATGTGCGCGGTGCTATGGCAAGAGCGATGCTTCGAAACCGACCTGCGCTCCATCCGTCTGGCTGTCGCGAGCGTCGTGTTTCAGGGTCGTGGGTGAGGATGAGTCGTCAGGCGAAACAACCGGCCCGCCCTACCGTCAAGCCTGGGGGTGCGACAAGGAGAGCTCAGATGCAAGGGTAAGGGACGAAGGAGGGACGGGCGAACGTGGGAGGAGGAACGCGACGCGAGGGAGTGATGTGGGGAAGGGGTTGAGGCGGGATGCGTTACAGAGAAAGGGGAATGAAAGAGGAAGGAAGGGAAAGACAGAAGAGCGAGGCGGAGGATTTCAAATCTGAAGGGGGGGAGAAAGGAACAGGAGGGAAGAACGGAGGAGGTGGAAGGTGGGGGTGGGCTGGCGGGAGGAGGATGATAGCGACGACTGTTGGGAGGGAAAGAGGCACAGAACGAGAGCGGAGTAAGGATGCGGGGGAGGACGAAACAGAAAGGACGAGATGAGGGACAAGAGGCAGGGTGTGAACGAGGGACGAGGAGGATGAGGATGAGGAGAAGGACGAGAGAACGGAGGATGAGGAAGAAAACTATTACCCAGCCGTCCCGCCCATCATCGCCCATCCTGTCGCCTGCCTTTCCATTAATACTGCTCCCGTCTCCCCCCAAAACTCCTCCCCTCTCTCTCTCCCTCGTTCTTGCTCGTTCTCTCTCTCTCTCTCTCTTTTTTCTCTCCCTCTCTCTCTCGTTCTCGAGCTCGCTCGCGCTTCGTCTCACCGGCATCGCCATCTTCCCGCCTGTCCCCTCCTCCATCTCTCTTCCTCCCCCTCCTTCTCCTCCCTTTCTTCCTCTTCCTCCTCCTCCTTCTCCTCCTCTCCCTCCTCGTTTTCCTCCTCTCTCCCTCCTCTATCCTTCATCCCCCTCCTCTCCCACCTCCCCCCCCTCCATCCCCCTTTTTCACCGCCATTGTCATTCACCCCCTGCCTTCTCCTCCTTCTCGCCCTCCCTCCTCCCTCTGTCACGGCTGATGCTGATGCTGAGGCTCGGGCCTTCCAGTCCGCCAGGAACGCTCGCAGCAAGGCCTCTGGGAGGGCTCGGTCCTATCACTCTCTGGTGCTAGTTAATATTCGCTCGTCCTCGCCCCTCCTTCTTCCTTTCAAAGCCAACGCATCCCAGAAAAGGCAACAATAACTGGATCCCTACCTGGCTTGCCCACCTCCTGCGCCGAAACTATGGGGGCATTTGAAATGTGGGCGGTCCACACTCCTCCTGCATGCTCTTTCTCCACGAACTCCGCCTCCATCGTCCTCGTGCCGCCCCCCCGAGCTCACTCATGCCCCCCTTCCTTTGCCCCAACATCTTGTTTTCCATCATGCACCGCCATCCTAATCATCATCCGCATCATCAGCAACATCATGAAGATTATCCACCTGATCGTCACCATCAACACGATCACCGCCACCACCACCACCATCATATCCAACACCCTTCTCTTCCCCCATCATTGTCGTTATCGTGTTGCCAGCATCGGCACCGCCACTGGCATCACCAGTATCACTCCCACCAACACGCTCGTCATCCACTCCATTATCAGCATCAGACCAACATCAACAACGCAACACTTCCTACCACCAGCAGCTGCATCGCCACTCATCATCATCGGCATCGCCAAGCTCAACAGTATCATCGCCGCAATCAGCATCGTCATCATCAAAATCATCATCATTCGCACCAACATCTTTGTCACAATCGTCATCAGCATCATCCTAAGCATCAGCATTGTGCTTATTATCATCATCGTCATGCCCACGCCCCGCGCTTGCGAAGGGAATTCGCGCGGAGACAGCGGCCGGCGCGGGCGCGGGGGGGCTCAGGGGATCCGGACCCCAGTTGCGCGCGCGGGCCGAGCGGCGACGCTGCTCAGGAGACGGACGCCCCCTGCGTGTCGAAGGATACGTGCAGCCATGCCCATGCTCAGAGCACTAGCGCAATGCCAAGGCGTTGGCGGGCGGCCGACATGCGCGCGGACCGCGCAGAAGAGCCCGCGGCGAGAAACGAGGCGACAAAGCGATCGCTAACTCAGCGTAATACGCAAGGCGCGCACGAGCTAACGCACGAAGCGGCGGCGGCTTGGAGACAGCGCTCATCGCCAGTGAGGCCTGGCGCCAGCGGCGACGCCAGATGGCGCGAGGAATGTCTTCCGTGGCCACAGAGAAATCCGAAGCCCCTGAACCTCGCAAACAGGCAGATGTGAGGTTCAGCCGGCAGGCCACACTGGATAGCGGGACGCCCATGGCCGAAAGCAAATGGTTTCACCGAGTAGGGAAGCCACTCTGCGCGAAGGCGGAACACAAGTGCTGGAACACCAGTTCCAGGGGCCTCACCGACGACGCCCGCTCGGCTTCCAGGCGTGATCGGAAGAAGGCCATCTCCTTCGCGTGATTGCCGCGCGCCGAAGGCCAACGGGTGTCCACCAACGGAAAGAAAAGCAGCTGAGCCTCCCTCTCCGCGTTGAAGCGGGCAGCCTGAACAGGCGGCGCCTCCGGCCCCGCCAATTCAGGGCCCCCCGCCAGTTGATCGATGAATATGCGCTGGCAACTTACCAGGGTCTCCCTGCCCGCATCCCCGCGCTCCGCCGCGAGCGACAGCTCCACGCTGAGCCATGCAAGATGTATTAAAAAATCTCGCGTGCCGCCGCGCGGCACCCCCAAAACCGGCTGTGCTCGCGGAAGTACTGGAGCATAGCCATGCGGATGCGTAGAGCACCCACATGGCTATGTTCGAGAGATAGACTACTCCCCCCCAGAGCACGAGCTGGGTTCAAGATCAGACTGGACGGAACCTTGGGCCCGCGCTGCACCAGTACTTGCTGCCATTCCTTGCGACGCGCGATGCCGCCCATCGAGGTTCTGGCAGCCCCCCTTCGGCCCCCGCATGGGCGGCCGAGTGCAGAGGGTCGCTGAGCGTTCCCAGCAGAGGGTGCGTCGCCGCCCTCTGTGGTCCCGCTCGTTGGAGAGGCTCCCGCAGGCAGAGCAACGCTGACTCAAAAATGGACGCGGCATTGCTGTGCACGAGGGGGCTCGTCTCCCACGTGGCCCGTCGCCGAAGCCGCCGCCCCCTTCGGGCCTGGCCAGCCCCGCGGGGGCGGGGGGAGGCGGCGGGGCCAAGGGCGGCGGAAGCGGCGGGCGGATGCTCCCAACATCGCTCTGCCCCGAAGATGCCACCATCGCCGAGGCTCGCGTGGCGGCGCGACTCTGGACGCGCTGGGGGGCAGGAGGCAACTGAGCTAGCATCGACTAGAGATCCCACTGGTGGATGTCTACACGCGTCGCCTCGTCGGCGAACAACTGCGGTGCCTCGAGACGGTCCCCGTGCCGATCGGCGTGGCCCCCCGGAGGAGGAGCCACTGACTGGGCCGCGCTCGCAACCAGCAGCCGCTGTATCTCCCAGTGGACCTCCGCGCGGGTCATGGGAACTCCGTCCTCCAAGGCCGCGGCGATGGCCCCCCCCACGAGGACGGGCCATGCCTGACCAACGCCTCGGCTGCGCGCCGAGGCGGCCCCGAGCACGGGAGGCGCCTCCGGGAACGGCGGGGCCCGCGCCAGAAGAGGAGGGCGGTCCTCGGCGTCGGCGTCGTCCTCCAGGCCGCCCCCGTCGAATTCGCTCGCCCGCGGACTGGTACGGGGTGGCCCTCTCCGAGCCGGGCGAGGCCCCGCCCCCTTCGACGGGCGCGGCGCCGCGAATGGCCACGAAACCATCGCGAAGGCCGACAACCCCCGAGGATGGACCAAACACCCCCGAAGGCCGAAAACCAACGCGACAGCGAGACGATCCGAAATGGACCAGCTCGTCGGCGTCGCCTTCGTCCAGCGGGGCGAGAGCCTCGAGATCCATCTCGGAGATCTCCTAATCAACCACCAACCCCAGGGTAGTCGTGCTCAACGGACGCGAGGCCACGCCGAGCAAGGGCACGCTGACCACCTGGAAAGGGCCAACTCGCTCTGAGAATCTTTCTGCCTCCGCCAAGCTGAGACTGTCGGAAATGCGGAAAGATCCAGACAACGCCAGCTGAATATCCCCTGGCCGAGCGGCCAGAGGACGCGCGGCGTAGCTTTCGTCGCCCTCGCCCAACCGCCGGCGATCGTAGCGAGTGGCTGACGTAGGAGCGGAGGGGTGGTGGTCGAGCCAAACTTGCCCATCGGGGATGGCGAGGCCCCCTGCCGCCGAAGCAGCGGCCGCGATGGCTGGCGACGCGAGCGTCAGCCTCGAGAAGGGGCTGCGGGCGGTGCCTTGCGAAAGGGCCCGCGCGCGCTCCTCAGCCCGCGCCCCTTGCGCCGTAGGCCAGGGCGCGCTGCGCACCGCGACCGCGCCCGTCGAGGGTTTCGATCGCGGTCCGCGCGCGAGGGGAGGCCGTGAGGCCAGCCGCGAAAGCCCCGATGCAGCGACCTCCGCAGAGGCTTCAGACGGCAGTGGCCCCGAGCAGAGCCACGACCGTCGAAAGCAGCAAGGAAGTCACCCCGCTGCTCAGATCCACCGCCAGCCCGAGGCAGACGGTGGGGCAAGCCATCACCACTATCATCATCATCATCAGCATCATCATCATCATCATCATCATCAACAACAACATAAGTATCATCGCCACCATCATCGTCACCATCACCAGCATCAGTATTACCACCATCACCATCACCATCACCACCACCACCACCACCACCACCATCATCATCATCATCATCATCATCATCATCATCATCATCATCATCATCATCATCATCAGCACCATCATCTTTCATCACCATCATCATGATATTTATCATCTTCATCATATGTATCATCATCAGCTTCGTCATCGCCATCGTCATCCTCATCGTCGTCGTCATCATCACCATCCGCAGCTTCATCGCCGTGTCCATGATCAAAAGCACCAGAGACAATGGCTCGTGGATCTCATCCGTTGACAGCTAACCAGCTTCGCCCCAAGCTGCAAACGTCTGAGGCTGCCGCTGCGCCTGGAGAGACAGGGCCGGCAACCACTTGGCCCCGAATCTCCAGGGGGGGGGAGGATGTGCAGCCGACGACGGCGGCGGCAACGACGGCGGCTGCGGTTGCGACGACGACAGCGGCGGCGGCGACGGAGGCTGCGGCGAAGGCGGCGGCGGCAGCGAAGAGGCGGCGACGGCGGCGGGTCCCTCACGGAGTGCCTGCGAGCGAGAAATTGCCAGGAGCTGCGCCTGAGCCTCCGCCGCCCTCAGCGCCGCCCGACGGCGGGCGACGTGCTCGCGCCACGCCCGCCTGGGCTTGCGCCGACGCAAGGCAATTCCAGGATCGGAGCAGCATCGGATCGGGATGCATCAGGGATCTCCGAGATCAGGCGGTTCTGGAGGATGCATCTGGCGCCGCGGCCGTTCCAGAGCGTCGCAAAACGCATGCAATATGACACATGTGACCATCGATCGAACGGGATCTTAAGCGAGAGCAACATCTGGAACATAGACTAAATCCAGTGGTGTAGCTGCCGCACAATGTTGCACGCCTATTCGTGAGATCGAACAACAAATAGCGAGAGCCCAAACTTTCATAGCGACTCGCCCCCACTTCAAGGTTCAAGATCGTAGACCACGCGGAGGTTCCAGGCGAAGTGCCTGGTCCGCCGTGACGATACGTCTGGTGCTTGAGGGAGATGGGGTTGGACGAGGTTCTCCCCCTCCTTCTCCGTCAAACTCCCGCTCCTCCTCGTCCCTCACCCTTCCCGTCAAGGGGGAGGTGGAGACCGAAGAGCAGGAGAAGAAGGGTGGGCGAGGGCACGGACGAGATCTGCGGCGGAGCTGGCGCGGCCGAAGCCCAACAACGAAAGGGTCGCCCCGGGAACTGGTCAGGAAAAACAGCTGCTGTACAAAAAAGTAAGTATGGCCGCCCCGAGTCGGGATTTCGTCAGCCGGAGAGCCGAGTTATGATTGGCGGCGCGCACAAGGAGGTAGGGGGAGGGGGGAAGGCTCCTTGGAAGAAGTCTGCTTCTAATAAGCATTCCCCCCTCCCCCCACCCCCTTTGTGCGCGCCGCGGATATGAGTCATGACCACAAAACAACCAGGCGTCCCAGAGGGGGTCGAGGCCCTTCTCTCGTGCAGGGCTTCCCGAATTCAGCCGCCCCTCGCCTCGCGCCGCGTGGCGGCCGCGCTTTGCTCCAATTGTCCCTGAAAATCTTTGGATTTGCTTGGGATCGCCACGAGCCCTGTGGGCTTCCCACCCCCCCTTCCTCCTGCTCCGCCGGCTGCGGCTGGAGGAGGCCAGGGTTCCTGAGGCGGACTCCCTCTGTCTCCCTCCTCATCCCCCCTCACCTGCTCTCCCGCCGTCACGGCGCATCAGCTTGCCCGTACAGCAAAGGCCAGTCCACAAGAAACCTCCCACAAGAAACCCAACCCTGAGACCCCAGGACGTCCATCGACTTTTGGCTTGGGCGCGTCGCGCTCTCCATCGGAATACCATCGAAACCCAAGAAACCCAGGGCACCCTGGAGGCAAGCAGGGTGTTTCTTGGCACGGGCCTCCACTGTACCCACGCGCACAGGGCGGCAGCGAAGGCCAAGCGAGCCTCGCGCCGGCGCAGCCGCTGGAGAGCATTCCCGAGACTTGAAGGCCAAGAACCGACCTTGCCGCCGAGAACCCCCAACCAACCCCGAGGAGGGCAAGGAGCAGGATGCCCCCAAGAAAAAAAGCGACTACTCCCAAGGTGGCCGACGTCGAATGCTCTTAGGTGAACAGTCCACTGTTGAGCAGGGACCGACCGTCCCGGCATTCCTATAAACATACCACGAGATGTTTCTCATAACCAAAAAATGTTCTAAGAGAAGAACAGATGTTCTTAGAACAGAAACCCGATGTGTTCAAACAAGACAGACTCCGCCAGAACTGTTCTAAGAACATTTTCGTGGAAACCACGAAAGGCTCTTAGAACATTGTTTGGTAGCGCTACAGGCGAGCCAGGACGCTTCGCCACTGCTTGACACTACCCCCCGGGGGGGGGGGGGGGGGGGCAGAATGACAGGGAAGTCCCCTGCGTCACGCGGGGCCCAGGCCACCACGCGAGCCGCGGCCAGGGCCGCCGCCAGGGCCACTCCACGGCGACGCGGCGCTCGCGGCCAGCACGCTCAGAGGCCTGCGGGCGGTCGTCGTCGTCGTCGTCGACGTCGTCGTCGTCGTCGTCGGCGTCGTCGGCGTCGGCGTCGGCGTCGGCGTCGGCGTCGTCGTCGTCGTCGTCGTCGGCGTCGTCGTCGTCGTCAGCGACGTCGTCCTCGGCCTGTCGGTTCTTCGATGCCTCGGTGACTCGGTGCCTTGTCTTGCGTCGCTCTGGGCGCGCCACCGGCGCCCCGAGCGCGCCCCTCGGCCTCCTCGTCCTGCCACCCTTTCCACTCTGCCTCCCCTCCTCCTCCTCCTCCTCCTCCTCCTCCTCCTTCTCCTCCTCCTCTCCCTCCTCCTGCCCCGCCTCCTCCTCTACCTCCTCCTCCTCATCATCCTCCTCCTCCTCCTCCTCTCCCTCCTCCTCCCCTCCCCTCCTCCTCCTCCTCCTCTCCTCCTCCTCCTCCTCCTCCTCATCCTCTCCTCCTCCCCCTCCCCCTCCCCCGCCACCGCCTCCTCCTCCTCCTCCTCCTCCTCCTCCTCCTCCTCCTCCTCCTCCTCCTCCTCCTCCTCCTCCTCCTGCCCCCAATATGCCCCTCTCCCTCCTGGAGACCCCTGGGGGGCCGAAGAGAGCCCGACGAAGGCCCTAAGATCTCACAAGATGGCCCCAAGAGAGAGCCCCTGGAGGGCCAGCGAACGGCCCGAGAGCGCAGGTCAACCGGCGCCACGCCTTGAGGTGTCCCCATGGTGGCCCCAAGACGCCCAAAGACGATGCCAAAGTGGCCCAAGAGGGTCTTGGAATGCCCCGTGGACTGCACATCTGGTCCTCGGTGGCCGAATACCCTCAATCGCAGGCCCGCAAGGCGGCCTGAATCATGGTAAAAGCTCGTGCGTCTTGCTGTGTTGGGACCTCTTGCTTCTTCGACATCAAATGGGCTTCTCGAGCCCCGCGGGGGCCCCAAGAGCGTTCCGCCAGAACCCTCACAGGGCACCGAGGCTACACGGCAGGGCCCCGTGAGGGTCCGACGATCCCTCGAGAAGGCCCCAGCAAGGCTTCAGGAGAGCCGCAAAGCGACCCAAGAGAGTGGACAAATGGGTGTCATGCCTCAAGGTGACCCCAGAATGGCCCCAACCGAGTCCCAAGAAGCCCCAAGATGGCCCATGATGGCCCAAGAGAGTTCTAGAAGTGTGAGGCTCGTGCCGCTGCCGCTGAATGCTCAGAGCAAGCCCACAACTCAAGCGGTGTGCGTGGTGGTGAACAAATTGCTCCGTTCGTCAGGGGGAAACGGCAAACACCAGAACCACCCCCGGGCGAGTAGTGGATCTTCGTTTCAAGAAGTGAGCGTGGATAATACGTGCAGATGGATCGTGGAGTAAGCGGGGACACGGGATCGTGGTGCTGCTGGTGGCCAGATCAGGAATGACCACTGTCGGATGGGGAAAACGGATCGGATCGAGACTTGCATCGAATGGTGCCTCATCGGCACTGAATCGAAGTCGAGTCGGATGGGCTGCGCCAGTATGCACAACAGCGCCATGCAAGCATCAGTAGTCCTCCTCGGATCGCCCGAAACCGGCCCTTGAGCCGAATCGGGCTGGCCGAAGTCGATATCGAACCGGACCGATCGGATCGAACTGGACTCTGGTGGTCGAAACTCGATTCTCCCCAGCAGAACCCTCGTCGCCGAGAGCCGTCTCTGGTGGTTGCCGTCGTGGCCCGCCGTGGAAGCTGCTGGCGGGCGAGCTCAGACTCTCTTCTGGCCGGCGGCCACTCGGCTGCGCGCGGCAGAGAGACCCCGAAAGCGTGAAACTCTCCGGGGTGTGCCCGAGCAGAGCTCCGACGGCCAGCTCCGATCGAATGTCCACCGACGGCCAGCTCCGGTCTCGGGGGGGAGCCAGAACGCAGCAGGAGCGCAAAAGTGTGGGATGGGAATGAGGGTGGGAGCAAGCGAAAGACGAGGACCAGAAGGGAGGACCCTGGCGCAGTACCCTGGGACTTCTGTGGGGAAGCTGCTCCGAACGGTCCCGGCCCGCTCTGCGCACTGGGTTCCGCCGACTTCCCTGTGAACTGATCTTCCCCTGAATGCCAAGAACCAAGACGCACGCTGGCATGCGCCAGCGGGGCCAGATTCTCTCATGAGCTTGGGGATCGCGGAGATGCCAAAGCATGAGCACGAGGAGGAGGAGGAGGAGGAGGAGGAGAAGGACGGGCAGGACGAGGCCGGGGGGGAGGAGGAGGCTCAGCAGGGGGGAACAATGAGAACGATGAGGGAGCTGGGAAACAATGATGGATGAAGAAGACGAGTAGGAGCTGTAGCAGGAGGAGGGATGAAGGGATGGAGATGGTGGATGAGTTGGGAAGAAGAGAAATTATATGATAATGTGCAGGGGAAGGCGATCGGCGATAGAGGAGGAAGCAGGTGGGATGAGGGGAAGGAGGCAAGAGGACGGGCAACAAGAGAGGGACGAGGAGGTCACCGAAAGAGCAAGGTCTGTGAGATGTTGATGTGGAAGTCGGGTAGCGAAGAACAGGGCGACGTCCAGAACGCGCCAGAGTCGAACGTCTGTTTCCTCCTCCTAGTCCTTCTCCCCCTCGTCCCTGCTCCTCCCTCATCATATTCCTTCCTCATCGTCTTCCACTTCTCCCTGACCTCCCCTTCCCCCATACGCACGCCTGCCCCATCCTCCTGCGAGGAGAAGGAAAGGGCCCTGGCTCGGCCCTTCAATGACAGACAACAGGCCAGCACCCTGAGCGAAGGACCACGTGCCGCCACCAAGGTTTGCCGAACCCTTCCTCCACACCCCCACTTTCGAGCCTTTCGAGCGCGGCCCAATGTCGCTCTCGCGACGCGGCCGACGCCTCCGCGGCTGGTGCCGCGGAGGCTGCGGTCTTTGCCGCTCAGGGGGGACAGCGCTGCTGCTGCGACCTCACACAGGGGGGCCCTAAGGCCTCACGAGGCAAAATCAGCCGCCAGCGGCCAAGGCGACGGACAGAGGCCCGAGGGACCACGAAAAGGGCCAGAGAAAATGCACCCCCACTTCTTCCACCTTCCCACCCATCCCATTCCTCGAGGAACCACTAGGTACCAACACCGCTACTCTCTGGCCCTCTCCTGGGTTGCACTCTCACCAGAACTTCGAGTCGAGCCGAGCAGGGGCGGCAAGGGCCTCCCGGGAGACCCAAAAGGGATGAAGCGAGGGCAGGGCGGCGATATCGGCACCTTTCCCTCTTATTTCCCCCCCCCCCCTGTCCCGCCAGGAATCCAACAAAAAAAACACCTCCCGCCCCGCAGGGGTGGGGGGGGATGAGGGGGGCGCCTTTCGCCGCGAGCTCCGGCCCCACCGTTGCCAGGCCACCAGGAGGAAGTGCCGCGCCGCGAGCGCGGGGCCTGGACGCAGCTGGGCACCCGCGACGGCATCGGTGGTGGGATGGGACAGTTTTTTGATAGAAAAGCGCTGCTTGCGGCCATGCTTGGTTGATCGATCCTCTCGTGTGCTGTGGCCAGATGTCAACGAAATCTACATACCAGGGCTGGACCTAATCGGTGTTTTGGCGATTTCGTGGGCCGTTTTCGTTTCGACTTCGTTTTGCGGCAAAGGCGGCTTGAAGACAACCCGAGGGAAAACGAAAACAAAACGAACAGGAAAAATACCGTTTAGGCTTAGCCCTGCTACATACGGTCCTGCAGCCGATTCTCCTGCCAAGCTATGCGCCGCAGCTGAAAGAGGGAGAGGGAGGAGGGGGATGCGTGGTAAGGCTTCGGGCTGCGCACCGACAGCCCCTCCAGGTAGTCCTGGCTGGCCACCGCGAGCCTCCCAGGGAGTCCCCGCTGGGTTACATTCGGAGGGCCTGTCGAGGCCAGTCGGGGACCACCTAGGCGGGCTGTCTGTGCGCAACCCGGCGCCTTGCGCCAACCATGCGACGGCGACGACTCTGGCTTGCCCACCACATGGGTTATGCGCACAACAGGCTTGTGTCATGACGACTTCGGCACTGGTTTCTGACCCCACGGTGGATCGTTCACCGTTGTGCGATCGCGGCCCTCGGACAGCCAAGATCGGTCGGCATCGTCGGACAGCGAAGATCGGTCAGCATCGCCCGATTCTTTGCCACAGGCAACGTTCAACCCGGAACGCCCGTGCTGGGGTCGCCGCCGCAACGACACGACACAAACCTACCGTATTAGGCACTCAGCCTGGCTAGGGAGGCAAATGATCTAGATCCCAGACCCCTCCCATTCCAAACTAGTGTGCTTCCCTGCCAACGCCAATGGACCACCCCCAGTGGGGTGTTGCGTGGTGAGATGGTGGGGAATGCGGGTACTGTGTTGCGTACGTGTTTGTGTGCGTGCGCGCGCGTGTATGTGTGTGTGTGTGCGTGTGCGTGCGTGTGTGCGTGTGTGTCTTTTTGTATGCGGTGTGTGTATGTGTGTGCGTGCGAAGCCCATGGTTGCTTCGTTCTAGAATCGTGCGATGGTGTCGCCACCACGCCACGGGGTGAAACATTGTGTGTATGTGCGTGTGTCTGTCTGTGCGTCTGTCTGCCTGGCTCCGCCGCGTCGCTGCGCGAGCGGCCGCAACGCGAGAAAGTGTGTGTGTGAGTATGTGTGTGTGTGTGAGTGTGTGTGTGTCTGTGTGTGTCTGTGTGTGTGTGGGTGTGTGTGTGTGTGTGTGTGTGTGTGTGGGGAGGTTCTGGCGACTGGCGCTGCGATGCCTTCAGTGGTCACTGAAGGCCCGGGCGGTTAGACGCGCGCGCGCATCTGCTGGTTTCAACCTTCAACGCCTCGACGCTGCGCGCGAGGCCGCGACGCCAAAACAAACTGTGTGTGTGCGTGTGTGTGTGTGTGTGCGTGTGTGTGTGTGTGCGTGTGGGGGGGTGATGGCGGCTGGCGTGCGTGGTCTTAAATGGTCACTGAGGCCTCGGGCGGTTAGACGCGCGAGGCCGCCTCGCCCAACATAAAGTGTGCGTGTGGGGGTCCCCACGCACAAAGTTCTCAAAGCACCTTGGCCGTAGCCTGCCGTCGTAGAACTCTATCCGCCGATGGCAGACCATCGGCGCACAGGAGGAAAACTATGTGCGTCAGCGCACCCACGCATCACCTACTTCAACCCTACCCACTCCTCCTCCTCATTCTCCTCCCCCTCCTCCTCCACATTATCCTCCCCCTTTCTCCTTCTCCTCCTCCTTCTCCTCTTCCTCCTCCTCTCTCCTCCTCCCCCGTCCTCCTCCTCCTCCTCCTCCTCCTCCTCCTCCTCCCCCTAGATCCCCCTCCTCCCCTCCTCCTCCTCCTCCTCCTCCTCCTCCTCCTCCTCCTCCTCCTCCTCCTCCTCCTCCTCCTCCTCCTCCTCCTCCCCCATCTCCTCCTCCTCCCTCTCCTCCTCCTCCTCCTCTCCTCCTCTCTCCTCCTCCTCCTCCTCCTCCTCCTCCTCCTCCTCCTGCTCCTGCTTCTGCTCCTGCTCCTGCTGCTCCTCCTCCTCCTCATCCTCCTCCTTCTCCTCCTCCTCCTCCTCCTCCTCCTCCTCCGCCTGCCGACCCCCCAAAAAACATCGGGCCACCGGCGGGCTCGGCTTCCTCGCTAGATCGGGCCGCGTCCACCGTCAGTGCCCGGGGGAAGGGGGGGCTTTCAGGAAAGGGGGCAGGAGAAGGAGCAGCAGGTCAGGAGGAGGCGACAGAGCAGTTGGGGGCCGTGAGAAGGCACAGTGGGCGAGGAGGGGGGACCCTGCTACCCGACGGCGCGAAACAAACAACAGGCAGAGTACAAATTCACCACCGGAGCCATGGACCCCATCTCTCTGCATGATTGTTCGAGCTGGATCGATCTGTGAGAGCCCCGGGTAACACGCCTGGCTCAAAAAAATGAAGTGCCTGGATCTTAGGCGATGCGCAGACATTGGTTCAGGGCAGAAGGGTCCTTTTGTCATGGGGTCGCAAGCGAAACATGCAATAGTCCATCATGTGGCACGTGATGCGTGGCAACCACGTGATGACATTGTACGGTATGCGTATCCCGCGCGAACGATCGCACGAAAGATTGCGTAGATCTGGGGGGCCATCGTTGCAAAGGACGCACTCGCCCGCATCCGAAGGGAGCCGCTCCCCAGAGATCCGACGTCGTGTTTGTTTCAATACGGGGTCCCCGGAAGTCTCGACCCATTCCCCAGGACCGGTTTTTCATCCTGAGTCGTTCTGTTGACGGTCCTGGGGCCCGGCGAGGGCCGCTAGAGACCGAGAATCTAGAAAAAAAACCGTCCTGATTGTTTCAATGCGTTGGGGGTCTGGGTCCGAAGGCCCTCCGCAGGGCCGCCTGAAGCCCCGATACGCCAGGCCGCCACGGCCCACCGGCACAGCGAGCGCGAGCGCAGCGCGGCGGCCATGCAGAGGCAGCTGCGGCGCGAGAGCGCGGCCAGGGCTGCGCGCCTCGTGGCCCGGAGGTCCTCCTCCTCCTCCTCCTCCTCCTCGTCCTGCTCCTCGTGCTCCTCCCTGCCCTCCTGCTCCACCCCTCCTCATCCTGCATCATGTCCTCGTCCTTTTCTCCTCCTCCTTCTCCTCCTCCTCCTCCTCCTCCTCCTCCTCCTCCTCCTCCATCCCTCTTCATGATGAGACTTTCCTCCCTGTCGCACCTTCAGGTGCGTCGGTAGGGCGGGCCAGGCGTTTCGCTCCAGACTTTCTAGCCATGTATCTCACCCGGAAGCTTGAGATTTGCAATTGCTTCACGGATGGAGGCCGGCCGATCCATAAGCGTGGCTCCGAAACGTCAGCAAATCCGCCGATCCGGCGTGTGAGTTTCAAGGAGTCTCAGCTACAGCCTCGAGGCTGAGCCTCAGCCTCTGGGGGGTTGCCGGGGTGGCTCTGCCGGGGAAGGGGGGGTGGGGGGGGGGGGGGTGCGAGTTTCCGGCGGATGCGTTTTTTGACACCCCTCACAAGGATCGTGGCCTCCGAGGGGGTTCCGAACTCGAGTACCACCCCTCCCGCACCAAGAGGCTCCGAGGAGGCCTCCAAGAGGCCCCAAGGGGCGCAGAAGAGGCCCCCAAGAAGCCCCAAGAGGCTCCCAAGAGACCCCCAAGAGGCCCTCTAGTGGCCCCAAGAAGCCCAAGAGGCCCCCAAGAAGCCCCAAGAGGCGCCCAAGAGGCCCCCAGAAGTCCCAGCCAACCACGAGATCCCAACCAGCATCCATGAGGCCTCTGACCCACCACCCACGCACAGTGGCGGGATAGGCCGACGGCCTCTGGATAAATGCTGAGTGAGAGGAGGGGAGGGAAAAAGAGAGGAGGGACGAGGGCGAAAAAGGATCACATCAGTCGGAGCGCCCCGGATCGGCGGCACTGGCCGAAGGCCACTACAATACTGAAATCATTTCACGGATGGAGGGCGGGCCGTTTTCTAATGTAGCTATATCGTTAGCGCCGCATTTGCCTGACAAGTTTGCAGACGCTGCACTTATGAGGGAGGCTCCTTTTCAACATGTGGTCCTCGCTTTAGCACCGAGAGCGTTCGATTGCAAATCCTGGAACAAGTACAAGAGTGCGTATGGGTCCGCGGAATAATGTTCTGTCACGACTTCGGATTGTCAGGACGCAACACTGACGTCAAAGGGTTGGGCTAGAATACAAGGAATTGCGTTCTGGCGCAATTTGGGCATATCAGGACACGGCAGTCACATTGATTCGCGGCGCTGAAGCCCCAGGGATGGTGTTTTCATGCGGCCGAGGCTCCTCACACCCTTGTCTTCCACAAGGGAACTTCCACAACGAACAAGGGACCATTGGGGGGATGATGTATTGCAACACCGTTGATGCATCTTGGGCCCACACTGGTCCTCCTCATCTTCCCCCTGCTATCCTCCATCTCATATGCTCGTCCTCCTCCTCCTCCTCCTCCTCCTCCTCCTCCTCCTCCTCCTCCTCCTCCTCCTCCTCCTCCCCCGTCTCCTCATTCTCCTCCTTGTCCTCCTCCCTCCCTCCCCCCCCATCCCTCCCTACCTCCCCCTGTGGGGGCCAGTGGAGGTCACGGGCCTGAGCTGTATCGGATCGCGGGATATCGGGAATACGGGCACACGCACTCACACACACGGACACACACACACACACACACACACACGGACACACACACACACACACAGACACACACACACATACGGACACACACACACACAGGCTCACGGACATGGACATGGACACTGGCACACGGACTCATCGCGCGGGTGCTTCAGGCTTGGGCCAAAGCGCTCCGATAGCTTCCCGCTCCTCCGGCAAAGCGGGATGTTCCTCCCTGGGCCCTCCCGCGCAGGCCTGGGCGCAGCGTCGCTCGGCTTTGGCCCCCACTCGGGCCACTCCTGCCGAAGGTGGTGCCGAAGGAAAGGGACTCCTGGGGAGGCGGGTCCTGGACTGGGGGCGTCCTCTGGGAGCTCGAGAGTGGTGCCACGCGCAACAGCTCCAGGCCTCCTTCCCTCCATGCTGACGCAGGGCGCTGGCAAAGAGCCGCGGGCACTGCGATCCAAAAGCCCCAGGCAGTGCTTGCCGCTGCGCAGCGTGGGGGCTGTGGAGGCCCCGACTCGTCTCGACGACTTGTCTCGAGTCGAGGTTCGTGGTCCCGGAGCCCGGCCAGATGCACAGAACTGCCGGGAACCACGCGCCAGAACGCGGACCCTGGAGCTGTCCAGGGGCCCGTCCAAAACCCAAAGTCGGAGGCGGGGCTGGCCACGGAGACGAGGAGCCCCCCGGAGGGCCAAACACGCTCGAGACGCTGGATCCTCGATCCTCGGCACCCGACCCTCGAGGTCGGGACGGGCGGGCCGTCCCGACCACAGCAACGAGGAGCCCCAAGCACAGAACCTCGATCGCCGAGCTCCGATCGGGACGGGCAGACCGCTCCAGCCGAGGGGCCGGCCACTCCGAGGCAGAGCCTCGAGCCGCCGTCCCCGACACTCTGGGGGGCCAGGAAGGCACACCGCTGCTCCGCGGGCCGACCCTCGGTCGCGCCCTGGTCAAGATGTCGGAGCGACTCCAGCCGTGGGACGCAACCGTTGCGCCTCCCAGAAGAGCAGAAGCTCGACTGGGAGGTCCGAGTTCAATGAGCTCCCGCGGGGCACGAGCGTGCCAGCGACTCCAGCCGTGGGGACAAGGGAAAGGCGGGCGCGATCGTGAAGAGGCCCAGGGAGACACAGCTCCGCCGAGCATGTCGGCGTGTGGAGGGCGCTCTTCCGTTGGTCGCCGTCGTCGTCGTGTCGTTTCCGTCGTCTCCTCGTCGTCTATGTCGTCGGCTCCGTCTCCGTCGTCTCCTCGTCGTCTGCGTCAATCGTCGTCTCCGTCGTCCCCCGTCTCCTTTCCCTGGGCCCTCCTCCTTACGCGCGCCAGCCACAGCGACATTGAGCGACGATGTAGCTGAGTCGAAGGGAACCCCTTCCTTTTGATCCCTTCCCCGCCAGGGGGGGCGGTCCTTGGGGGTAAGTCCTGGGGGGTGGGTCCAGACCCAGGTAGAATTCCCTTCAGGCGGTTCCAGGGCACGGAACAGCCCCGAGACGGAGCAAAAGTGCCCCAGGAGGCCCCCAAGACGGTACTCGAGGGCACCGAATCGCCGAACTATCAGTCCAAGACGCCAAAGTAGCCTCCAGACTGCACAAGAGATTTTCAAAACGACCCGAGAGGAGGCCTACAAGAGCACTGCCAAGAACTCTCCTAACGTTGATTTTTGTTGATAACAAAGAAGATTTGGGCGTTCGCGACGTGTTCGACCCAACAGGGCCCGAAGACCGCGAAAGAGGCCTCCAAGACAGCCCACGAGGCCCCCAAGACGGCTTCGAGAGGGAGCCCAGGTGGGGGACCCGAAAGGACATTTCGAGCCCTCGGCCTGGGAGGCTCCCATGAGGCCCCCAGAGGCCCCAAGAGGTCGCAAGAAGCCCCTAAGAGACCCCCAGGAAGCCCCAAGAGGCCCACTCCAAAGAGGCCCCAAGAGCCTCCCTCCAAAGAGGCCCCACAAACTACCCCCACGATGCTCCCGAGAGCGCTCGTCGTCGTCGTCGTCGTCGTCGTCGTCGTCGTCGTCGTCGTCGTCGTCGTCGTCGTCGTCTTCGCCGCCGCCGTCGTCCGCGGTCGTCCGTGGTCGTCGTGGTCGTCGTGGTCGTCGTCGTCGTCGCCGCCGCCGCCGCCGCCGCCGCCGCCGCCATCGTCGTCGTCGTCGCCATCGTCGTCGTCGTCGTTCAGGGTCGGCGGCACCGGCCGTAAGGCCTCTCTAATGAATAGAGACACGAACCCCAGGATCCCCTGTATTTTTCTCCCCCCACATCCCATATCTTCGCATCTGTTTCTGAGAATCTACGTACGTGTGTGTCTCTTTGTAGCTATCCCTCTCGATCTCGGCGTTATCCCCAATTCTGCAGCAGAGTCGGACAGGGCCCTCATCCTCGAACTGTGAGCCTCGACCCCCGAGGCCCCCCACCCTCACGACCCGGGGCGGGCGGCCCGTCCCAGACCGCGGCACCCGGGGAGCCCCCGGAGGCCCGCAGGGGGGCGACAACGCCCAACGGAGCCTCGATCCTCGAGCCCGGAGGAGGAAACGGAATCGACAGAAAAGAAGGCGACGAGATCTACACACATCCACCGCCGCTGGCAAGGCCCATTCTCGGTCCAGGAGCGGTGCATACGCCCCCATGGCTTGGCCAGGGAGGCATATACACCGCTCCTGGGCCCAAGAAGGGCCTGGCCAGCGGCGGTGGATGTGTATAGATCTCGTCGCCCTGGAGAACGTCGGAGGTCCGCGTGGATTTTTTGGCTTTGCGCTGAAAGCCCCATTCCAGGCGCGCTCCGCGCGCCAGGGGTGGCGCCGGACACAGGGTGGATCCTGCGCAGATCCAAGAAATCCACGCGGACATCCGAAACATGTGAGCGGCGACCATACGAACGCTACACTGGAAACGAGGGCGCTTGCGCGCGACCTTACGCGTGCAGCTTCCGCACCAACCTCGGTGAAGGCGACCCCGTTTTGCTGTGTCGCTCCAGTGGCGAATTCTGGACACCCTGATCGGGCCGGGCGAAAGGGGGGGATAGCAAAAGGGGGGTTTGAGAATCAGCTCACGTAGTTGATTTTCCTGGCGCCTGCCGGCGCCGGAGGCGCCGGAGGCGGCTATGTCTCGAGAAATGGGCTCCTCGGTGGGGCCGAAACCGGCTGCAAGCAGCAGATTTTGCACCCCCCCCTTACCCAATCCCCCCCTTTCGTCAGGCCCGACCCGAACCACAAAGAGACGTCATCTCCTGGACGGCAGCTCCTTGCTTCCGCCAGCCTTCGCTCTGCTTCCGCCGCCATCCGCTAGCCTTCCTCCGAGGAGATGCCGACGCCTTCGATGCTCGAAGGCGAGGGCCCTTTTCTGGAGCGCCCCGTGTGTGTTCCTCGGCGGCGTGCGCAGCGGGGCAGAGGGAGGGGCGCAGGCTTCTCAGAGAATGGCTGCTTCTTTGAGGGCGCCAGCGCTACATCTACAAGGCCCGCGCCCTCTAAGGAGCAGCCTCCTTTCCAGATGCCCTCTCTGCGCGTGGTCGAACATTTGAGCGTTGTCGTTTCTCTTCTTCGAGAGCCTGCCTTGCCAATCGAGCCTCCGAGCCTCACGACCGGCAGCGGCGGCGACAAACTGAGGGGCGCGGCCTCAGGCGCGACCGTCGAACCGAGATCCTCGACCCTCGAGCCTCGAGCCGCGACCCTCGAGCCGCGAGCCGCCAGCCTCGAGCCGCGAGCCTCGAGCCGCGAGCCTCGAGCCCAACGGTCGGCAGCGGCGGCGACGAGCTGAGGGGCGCGGCCTCAGGCGCGCGAGGCCCCCGCGCAGCCGCGCGAGGCGCCGGTGCCGCCGCGCCGCGCGCGCGAGCTCCTCTCTGGCCGACGCGCGCGCGCAGGAGCGCGCGCGCGCCAAGGACCGCCGGCCGAGGCTCGAAGGTCGAGGCTCTGGAGGTGGAGGCTCTGGGCGTCGTTCGCTCTTCGAGCCTCCTCCTCCTCCTCCTCCTCCTCCTCCTCCTCCTCCTCCTCCTCCTCCTCCTCCTCCTCCTCCTCCTCCTCCTCCCCCCGTCCGCGTCACTCCGGGACTCTCCGAGGCCTTCGAGGCCGCGAGCGGCGAGGAGGCCTCGCGAGCGAGACGCCCAGGCTCCCTGGCCGGGTGCTGCCAGATATGGTTCTGGACCGAGGTGCCCCCTATATCTCAGCGCCACTCTGGAGCCCCCAGAGCCGCCAGCGTGGCACACCGCGTGGAGATGGGCGCCAGTACCGCCACGTCGCGCGCGCGAGAGCTCCTCTCTGTGGCCCTCGCGCGCGCGAAAGTGGGCGCGGTCGGGTGTTGCTAGAAGCCAAGGTGTCTCCAGCTTCCCGCGCGCCACTTTGCAACCCATGCTGGGCCCTCCTGGGCACACCTTGGGCCGGGATAGAATTGGCAGCAACCGACTAGGGGCGGGAGCGGCGGCCGGCGCCAGCGCCGAGGATCGCTGACAAGCCTTCTCCCCAGACTCCCACGTTCTGGAAGAAGCATTGCTTGGCGGTGCGCACAAGGGGGTGGAGGGAGGGGGAAGGGCTTCTCAGGAGGAGGCTGCTTCTTAGAAGGCGCCGGGTTCACATCTACAGGTAAGGCCCGCGCCGTCTAAGCAGCAGGGGTGCTTCTAAGACGCCCCTCCCCCCTCCCCCCCCTTTTCCCCCCCCCCCCCCCCCCTTCCCCTCCCCTCCCCCCCCCTCTGCGCGTGGCTGAATTGTGCGGCAACTTCGCGCGCCGATCTCCAGGCCCCTGGGAGGCCCCTCGCGCAGCCCTGGGGCCGCCCGGGGAGAGCCCTCGCGCGGCCCTTGGGCCCCCGACGAACGACTGCGCACGTAAGGCCGGCCCTGGGGACAGGGTCGGGGCCCCGGTTCCGGAAGAGATGCGGCCGCCCGGGTCTGACCGCGGCCGCCGGAGGGGTCCGACCGCGCCCGCTGCTGCCTGGCTCCTGCCTCCTGGCTCTCGCTTCGCCCTCCCTGCTCTGGCATCATGGCTCCTGCTCCCTGGCTCCTGCTCCCTGGCTCACTGGTCTCAGTGGCCCCTCCACCCACTGCTCATCGTGGATACTGCCTCCTGGCGACCCAGAACCTCAACGCATTGACAAAAAACAGGAGGGAAAGTTTTCTTGGTTTTCGGTTTCAGATAGGCTCTCGCCAGGCCCTGGCACCTTCAACCAAAGTATCCAGGACACTTCCAGGGACAGCGCATTGGAACACTCTAGACATCCCGTCTGTGGAGACGCGTAATCGATGTGCGGGGGCGGCGACCGCCGCCGGCGCCGAGGATCGCGGACCGAGGCTTGACGATCGAGCCGCTGGGGGTCGATGACTTGGGCGTCTCGCGCTCTTCGTGGGTTGCCACAGCATCGCGACGTGTCGCGCGGGGAAGACATCGTAGCAAAGGCCGCAGAACGCTGTTCTGCTGAAGCTCTGGCCCAACCTCAAACTAAGAGGCCGAATCTCCCAATAATACATGGGGAGAGCTGAAAAACACACCATGCTTCAAGCACGGATTTCTCAATGAAGCGAGATGCAATCGGGTGACGATCTGGACACGCGACGGCTGTTCTCGCCGGGGCCGCAAGTTAATAGTTTGGCCAGTGACTGGACAAATACCTGGGGTCGCGTGCACCAAGGCGCAACCAAGCCACAGCCGAAACGGAAGGCGAGAGCGCCATGTACCCTCAAAGCCGCGGCGAGAGGAACTCGCTGCTGGCAGACGATGTCAAATCCGAGCATGAGGGCTCAGGAAAAAAAGAGAGACAAACAACGACGTGGGCATCACCGTCCTCTGCCTCCTCCTCTGCAGACTCCCAGATGCGCCGCAAGAGGGGGCCATACGCCTCTGCCCCCTTGAGCGCGAAGGGGGCGGCACCTCCTGCGCCGCCCTGGGGGAGGAGGAGGAGTAGGAGGAGGAAGAGGAGGAGTAGGAGGAGGAGGAGGAGGAGGAGAAGGAGGAGGAGGAGGAGGAGGAGGAGCCCGGAAGATCGTGCAGGCCGGGGATCGCGGCACCAGCGACCGACAAAAACCGCTGCACCATGGGGCCTCGCGCCAGCCGATGCGGCGCGGGGGGGGCGGCCCGTGGCTCCCCCCCGGGCGCCTGCAGATCTCTGGGCTCGCCGCCCTCTCTTGAGCAGGGACCGACCGTCCCGGCATTCCTATATTGGAGGCCTGGAAATTGGCACCAACACCAACACGGGGGGGTGCCTCCACAGGGGGAAGATGGTCCTCGATTTCGGTGTTGGTGGTAATATTTCGGCCACCTTGGAAGCCAGAATATTACCACCATCACCGAGATCGGAATCTTCCTTCCCTCGGAGGAGGCACACCGCCGATCTTGGTGTTGGTGTCAACCTCCAGGCCTGCGACTATAGGTCTATACCACGACAAGTTCTTAGAACCCAAAGCCGGGGCCAAGGACAAAAGCCATGCCCTCAGAACATCAGCCCGATGCGTCACAACAAGACAGCCCCAGCCAGACAGGTGCTCCAAAAACACCTCGTGGGAACCACGCAAAGGGTTCTTGGAACAGTGCTTGGTAGGCCTACAGGCACGCCGGGACGCTTCGCCACTGCTTGGCCCCATGGCTCCCCCCGGCGCCTGCAGACCTCGGGGCCCGCCGCCCTCTCGGCTACACCGTCTGGGTGCGCAGGGCCCGCAGCAGCGAGGGCGGCAGGGCGCCCGGCAGGTCCGGCGGCAGGTCTGCGCGCCGCAGGTCCTCGGGCTCCAGCCTCAGGTGGGCCCTCGCGCCGACGATCTGGGGGAGCAGGCGCGCCAGGCCTCGGAGCTGGTCGACCATGTCCTTCACGGAGGGCATCTCCTTCAGCTTCACGTTCTTGACCCACGGCGCGCGCTGCTCGTGCCCCTCGCCCTGGGCGTCCCGCGAGGGCGCGCTGAGCGACCGCGGCTTCCTGCCCAGCTGGCTCCCCAGCGTGTGCATGGCCAGCAGCCCGGCCTGCATCTCCGCTTCGCTGTCGCCGATGGATATGATGCTCGCCACGCGGCCGGCCGCGGCGTCGGCGGTCCAGGACACCGCGGGCGCGGGCGCCCGAGGCCTGGAGCGCCCGCGGCCCGACGACGCCGCGCCCGTGGGCGGCCCGCCGGCGCTCGCGGGCGCCGCGGGGAGCCCGCCGGCGGCGGCGGCCGGCGGGCTGCCCCAGCTCGCCGGCGACTCCGCTCGCGTGCTGTTGACCCTGTACAGGTCGTCGAGGCACTCGAGGGCGTGCAGCATGGCGTCCCGCTTCCACCACGTGAGCTCGCCCAGGCCGTCCACCCACTCCAGCGCCTCGGCCGCCGACCCCGGGGCCGGCTTCCTGTACATCTTCTGCCCGTAGAGCACGCAGATGGGGGGCTGAGCGCCGTGGCCCACGACGACGGGCTTGACCATGGGCATCCACTTCTGGATCGTCTTGGGGACCCACCCGTCGACCGCGTTCGTGACGATGCAGACCACCCCGAGGGTCTGCGCGACCCGGATCGTCTCGGCGACGGCGCTCTGCAGCTGCGAGATGGCCTCCTGCAGGTCGGGGACGTCGGGGATCCGCTGCGAGAACCACGGCGGCACCTGGTCCTTCCAGTCGAAGTCGAAGGACCCGTCGATGGGGGTCGCCCAGTCCCACTCCTCCAGCATGTGGCTCTTCAGGACCTGCCGGATGGCGTTCGTCGGGCACAGGGTGTCGTCCCAATCCATGAAGATAACGGCGCGCTCGTGAGGGAACGCCGCGGGCAGCGGCTGGAGCAGGTGCTTGGGTATGTCCCAGGTCTGTTTGCACACGATAACGGCTGGGGCTCTCATTTGCGGGCCCGCCCTGCCGCCGGAGCCGCTCGGCCGCTGGGCGTCGGAGCTGAGGCGCCGCCAGTCCTGGGCGAAGTCGAGCGTGGGGCGACGGAACATCTTGTCGCTCTTCGGAGTGAGGCGGTGCGCACCCTCGGAGAGATCGAGCCCTCGCCCGCGCGGCTGTCCGGGTCCGTGCACCTCGCCTACATCCGAGGAGTTGTCGGAGGGGGTCGTCGGGCAGGTTTGCGTCGCCACGGAGCCCGCCGACTGCCTGCCAGACACCACGCCGTGGGGCAGCCAGAGCAGCTCGGCCTGGCTGTCGCCCTGCTGCTGCGGCTGCTCCGCGCTGCGCGCGTCGTCCGACACGCCGCTGGGCTGGCTGCACGCGCTGCGCCCGGCACCGTCGTCCTGCTCCAGCACGGGCGACAGCACCTCCGAGGCGGCCGACAGCAGGCGCTGGCGGCCAGTCCTGGCCTGCGACGCGAGGGCCTCCCGAGCTCTAGCCTTGGCGAGCGGCTTGGCGCCCTCTCCGTCCTCCCCCAGCTCCCCAGCGGCCCTGGGCGGCTCGCGCGGCGGCGGCCCCTCCGGCGGCGCCTGCGGCGGCTCCCCTGGGGAGTCCTCCGGGACGGCCTCCGGCGGCTGCCGCGCGGCCTGCTCCGCCTCCGCCTCTGCCGGGCGGCCTGGCAGCGATCCGGCGGAGGGGCGGCGGCGCTCCGGCGGCTCTCCCTGGGGCGCGCTGGCCGAGCCGCACCACTGCCCGTGGCTGCCGCTCCGCGCGAGGCGGGGGCTGCCGGGGTCCAACATGTCCCCGCGGCCGGGCTGCTGGCCCAGGGCCGCGCGGCCCAGCGCCTTCGACACGGTGAGCCCGCCCGCGCCGTCCACCACGCGGGCCTTCGACTCGGCCGGCCCGGGCGGCGGCCCGGGCAGCGGCGCGGGCGGCGGCGCAGCCGGCGGCTGCGGCGCTGGGCAGCACTCGATCTCCGAGCCCAGCCGCCTCTCGCGCGCGGCGGCGGCCCCTCCGTCTTGGCGGCCGGCGAGCACGCGCGACCTGGAGAAGGGGCTCAAGCTCGGCTCCGGCTTCTCCGCGCGGCCCTGCCTCCTCTCCAGGGCGGCTCGCGGCCGCTGCCTCCTGCCAGATACGGCCGCGCTACTCCTGCGCACCAGCCTGATCTGCAAGAGCTTGTAGCTTCCAGTCTCCTCGAGGCGGACGGAGGCCCCGGGCACGGGCGGGAGGTCGAAATTCTCTTCCAGGTCTGGGGAGCCGAGGGACACGAGCACCTCCGGGAACCGCACGAACAGGCGCTCCGCGTAGGGCACGAACACCTCTGGCAGCCGCGCCTGCATGCCCTCCCCCCCGGCCCTGCCCGCGAGCCCTGGCCGCGGCGCAGGGGTGCCGGGCCTGGGATCGCCACCCGGGCGCGGCCAGCCTGGCGCTCTTCGTGAGCCGCCGCGTGGCGACGGCGGGCCCCCCTTGAGAGAGCTTCCCCAGAGGACGTTCCCGTGATGTCCCCATGCGGAAGGGCCCAGACCCCCCTTGCCTCACGGAAAAACTCACGGCGGGCTGTGATTTCGACAGCCTCCGGTCCCCAGGTGGCAAGACGAAGCCAGGACGAGGATACAATCGGCTGTGGACAAATCGTGGATCTCTGAGATGCGGCGGCTCTGGAGGGTGCATCGGGCGCCTAGGCCTTCTCAGAGCGTTCTGGAACGCGCTCTGGAACGAACTTAGCCTCGCTCAGATCCCGTCCGCGGTGTGCCCCTGGGGCCGTCTACAGGCGGCTCGGGATGCACAGCTGGTCCCGCGGAAGGGGTCGAGAGCTCCGGGCTGGTCCACGACGTCGGGGGCCTAGGCGCTCTCACTGCTCTCGTTGCTGCCCGTCCCGGCTCCTCCGTAGGACGAGTGGTACCATGACGCGATTGGCTCAGGATCGGCTACATGCAAGAGTGACCGTAGGCAAGAGTGACCCTTGGTGCGCGGCTCTACCGGCGGCGCGGGGTGGCCAAGCGCATCGCGTTCGGCGGTCGGAGGACCCCGGTGGGCCCGCACCAAAGTCACTCTGGCGAAGGGCCAATCTTAGGTGAAGTCGACAGGATTCCTGAGGGCACGTTCCGAGAGTTCCACAGTATCTAGCGGACCGCGTTTTCTGAAGCTTTTGTGGAGCATCAGGAACTCTTTGAAATTGCGGGGATCTTGCAGCGTCTTATCCATAACCTCTTGCTCCTCTGACTCGTTGCTCCTGCCAGGGCGTCCATGGATCGTGTGCTGGTCCAGCCCTGGACTACGTACAACGAGTAAGATCCATGCGCACAACGGGCGTTTCTGCAACGAGGGAGACGCGAGCGAAGTGCCACGCTGCAGCAGGGTACTGCAGTAGAGTGGCATAATCTCGCGGAGCAGTGGGTGCACTCTTACACCTAGCAGGTGGAACAATTGCAAAAGGACTGTGCTGCCACCACCCTGGCAGCCTTTGCCAAACAAACCCGGGGCCGACAGGTGCGCTAAGCTCGTACGCAGCCCAGGTTCAGGCAACGGTCTGGGGCGTGCGTGATGTGTTCGCATTGCCCAGCGTACGCCGATCGTGCCCAACATGTTGCAAAAGCTGCCCAATCGATCACACGCACACATGCACACACACACACACACTCACACACATACACACACACACACACACACACACGCACACCCTGTCCTGTCTAGAGCCTGGCCAGAGAAAAGAAACAATCTAAACTTACTGTAAGTACCCAGCTCCTGAGATCCCCCTGATCAAATAAGCCATGTTGTCAGTACCAGCGACCAGTTCGCTGTTGACCGAAAGACATCGCTGCATAACAAAGTGCAAACTTCTGACGAACTGCTGTCCCCTCTGCTTCCGCGCTCTTCCCTTGCGTCCTCTCTCCCTCCTACAGCTCCGCATTGTCGTCCTCGTCCTTCTCTTCTTCCTCTCCCTCTCAGTCCTGATCCTTCTCTTCCTCCACATTGCATTCCCATCCATCTTCTCATCACACTCTCCATCGCACTTCTCCTCGTCCACTCCCCTACTCCCCCTTCCTCCTCAGACTGCCCCCTGCTCATGGCCCTGGCAAATAGCAGAGTGTGATGTCCGTCAGGGATCGACTATACTCGGGACAGGCTGGCACCTTAAGAAGTGATAATGTTCATGCCGCTCCCCTTCATCCTCCTTGCCAGTCACTAGCCTCCGCCTCGTCCTTCCCCCCTTCCTCCCTCCTGCGTCATCCACCCTGCCACCCTCCTCTTCGCCCCGCATCCCGGGAGCGCATACCGGCCATGACCTCCAGGCGGTTTCCCCCCAAGGTCGCCAGGCGCCCCCAAAGCCCGACACTCGATCCGCGATCCCTTTTCTCCTCGTCAGAGGAGGAACGGCACATCAGTAATACGTGAAACCAGACACCTCATCCTTCCCCATATCCTAAGGAGAGGTTCTTGTAATTACTTCGACCACGCCGAGCACGAAAACCACACTGGTATGGATGATGATGATAATAATAATAATTGTGATAATGATTATGATGCTGATGATGAGGATGGTGATGATACTGGTGATCATGATGATGATGATGCTGCTGATGATGATTGTGAGTATGAAGCGGATGGTGATGATGATTGTGAGTATGACGATGGTGATTATGACCATGATTATGATGATGATACTGATGGTGACGATGGTGATGCTGATGACGAGTATGATGCTGATGCTGCTGATGATGTTGCTGATGATGATGATGATGATGCTGCTGCTGATGATGATAATGAGTGTAATGGTGATGGTGATGGTGGTGATGAGGAAGATGAAGACGAAGACGAAGATGACTATTCTGATGAAGAAGTTGAAGATGAAGATGAAGATGAAGATGATGATGCTGATGATGCTGATGATGATGATGATGATGATGATGATGATGATGATGATGATGATGACGAGGGAGAGAGCGTGATCCACCGCCGCTTTACTGTGGAAAATTGCCAACCTTTTCCTCCGGAGCCCGGGGGTCTCCCCCCCCCCCCCCTCCGAAAATCCCCCCCCCCTGCTGGACCCCCCCCCCCCTTCCCCCCCGGCAAAACCTCCCCCTCCCCTAACCCCTCTCCCCCCCCCCTCCCCCTCGAAAACCGGGGAGGGTCACTACCGGTTCGAACCCCCCCCCCCCCCCCCCCCCCCCCCTCCGGATCCGGAAAACCGGGGGGGGTCACTACCGGCTGGACCCCCCCCCCCCTCGAAAACCGGAGGGGGGTCACTACCGGTTCGACCCCCCCCCCACGCACCGCCAGCAAACGACTCCCGGTCCCTACCACCGCTCGCATCACATCCCCCACTGTTGTTCCCAGCACCACTGTCCTCACCACCACTGTCCCCGCTGGTTCCACCACCGTCCCTATTGTCCCCACCAGTGCCCCCACCACTGTCGCACTGTCCCCACTGTTCCCACACTGTTCCCACCACGGTTCCACTCTCCCCACTGTCTCCACGGACCCAACCACTGCCTATCCCCACTGTCCCCACTGTCCCACTGACTCCTCCGCTGTCCCACTGAGCTGTCCCACTGTTCCCACCACTGTCCCCACTGTCCCCACCACTGTCCCCACTGTACCTCTGTCCCATTGTCCCACCGCCGTCCTCGCCACCGCCTTCACCACTGTCCCCACCACCATTGTACCCTCCACTGTCCCACTGTTTCCACCTCATTCCCACTGTCCCCACACCACTGTCCCCACCACCACCGTCACCACCACTGTCCACTGTCCCCCCTGTTCCCACCATTGTCCCCACCACTGTCCCCACCACTACCGTCCCCACCACTGTCCCACTGTCCCACTGTCCCCACCACTGTCCCGCTGTCCCCTCACCACTGTCCCCACCAACACCGTCCCCACCACTGTCCGCACCCCCACTCGGTTTTCGAGGGGGGGGGGGGTTCGAACCGGTAGTGACCCCCCCCCTTTTCATGATGAACTGGGGGGGGGGAGGGGTTCGAACCGGTAGTGACCCCCCCGGTTTTCCGGAGGGGGGGGAGGGGTTCGAACCGGTAGTGACCCCCCCCGGTTTTCCGCCAGCAGCGGTAGAACACGCTCTTTCTGATGAGGAGGATGAGGATGTCAAAGTCACCTCGTCGTGAAGTTTTCGGCTGCTGGAGGAGGAGGAGGGAGGAGAGGAGGAGGAGGAGGGAGGAGGAGGAGGAGGGAGGAGGAGGAGGGAGGAGGAGGAGGAGGAGGAGGAGGAGGATGAAGAGAGAACAGGGCGAAGAACGGCCGCCTCCCGCGGCCGCTCCCCGCACTGTTCTCCCTTCTCCCCGCCGGAAAATCCCACCAGCCCTCTGGGCGTAGGTGGTTCGGGGAGTTTCCTCTTCCACCCCCCTTCTTCTACCCCCTCCCCCGGACCTGGACGGGGCCGGTCGCGAGCAGTCAGGGTGCCCAAAACGACCTCGGCGAGGAAGCCAACATCATTTGTTTTACAATGGTTTTGGCTCCATTTTGGCCTCTCGGGGGGGCAGGGCTAAAAACAACTCCCCTCTTCTTTGATCGATGGCCTCCAAGATGGCCCCAAGAAGCGCCAAAGAGGCCCCAGAATGCCCCAGGATGGCCCCAAGAGGCCCCCGAGAGGCCCCCAGCAGGCCGACAAGAGGACCCCAAGCGGCTCCAAGAGGCCCCCCCGAAGCACCTAAGACGCCCAAGAACCTCCCAGGACCGCCAAGGTGACCCCAATGACGTTCCAAAAGGCCCCCAAGAAGCGCCCAAGAGATATCCCAAGAGGCTCCGGGAGGCATCCAAGAGACCTTTGGCCCTTTTGCTTGCCCTCCTCCTGCTGCTCTTCCTTCCTTTTCCTACTTCTCTTTTTCATCCCCCTCCTCCTCCTCCTCTTCCTCCTCCTCCTCCACCTCTTTTTCCTCCTCATCATCCTATTCATCCTCCTTCTCCCCACTCCCTCATCCATCCATCCATCCTGCTCATTTTCCTCCTTCCTCCTTCGCACGGTTCGGCCGTCCCCCTCCTTGCTCCCGCACTTCCCCCTCCAACTCGCCTGGACATTGTTTTTGGATGGGCTGGTGGGAATATTTTTTGGTACGCGGGCACGCGACGACGAGTCGAACACCGAGCAAGCTAGGGGCTGGTGGAGATATTTCTGTTGACCACGAGCGCAACAGAAGTGCCGAACGCCGCCCGAAAATCATAACGAACTAGATACGGCCGAAATTGAGCCAGCGAGAGAACAGCGGAACTGGTGGATAGATTTGTTTGGTCGCAGCCGCAAGCGAAGACGCAGGCGGCGTCAGAGGTCGACCCGGGCTACGGGCCTGGTGGAGATATGTTTTTTTGATCGCGAGCAATGCAG